TTTTTGCCGTATGAGTATACGTTGCCCAGGGTGCACCACGTGGAGGTAAATCTATCACACACCCCTTATGCTAATATTAGAATTACCTTTCGAGTTCACCGGTGGCGTAGCGGTTAACGTGAAGGTCTTCAAAGTCGTCAGCAGTGAACTTGTACAAAATGATCAATCATCTTGGTGGCTGAAAGAGGTGACAGATTGCGATATGCTCTATGGTTCTATTTTGTTGGCTAAGCTGGGTTTTAGAAAACGCCTTTCTTTAATTGACCTGTGAATAAATTTATTGCTCAGACTTCTTTAAATGATGATCCTCACGAATTACTGCTGTCATGATTAATAGAAATTGCTCGTATTTCAAATTCCCTCGCATATTAATAAATATTCAATGCTTAGTCTAGCACAACTGGAATTTTTTTCAGTTAATCTATATAACAGTACTTATGTTAGTGAGAATCTTGAATAATTCTATTTCTTAGGGCGAATTTCACATTTCATTTTTTTGAAAATGTGTGCTACGCTTTTTCCTGATATTTTGGTTAGCAAAATCTGACGAACATACTGGCGATTTGAAAGGATACTTTTGATTTAATTAAAATTAAATTTTTCTCATTTTGCTGGATTCGAATTAGGATTTCGTTTATTCGAGATTGGTTTTTTAATCTATTAATTTTTCAGTTGGTATTAGTACGTTCTTTAATGCTTTGTTAATATTTCTTGGCTTCAATAACTGAGTCATTGATGAAACTCGCGTTCTTCTACCTCCGTTTTATCGAGAACAAATTAGTACATTTAATTATCTCTCTCAATGTGTGAACAACTTTGGGTATCGGCTCCTTGATCTCGTTTATCGGTGCACATGCTATTCGATTATTTGTTTATGATTTTCTTTCTTTCAATAGGTCCTGCGGTCTCTTACTACAAGTCGTCCACTCCAACTTTTCACAGCGGTCACATTTCCAATATCCGCTGTCTGGCATCCGTGAACTCGTACCTCATATCTGGTGGTGGTCGTGGTATGCTAGCTGTTTGGTCTCTAGACTCTGATCGCACAAATCACCCGGGTCTGGTTGGCTGGATCTGCCTTGACACGGGGGTTCGTGAGTCCGGTCCTCTGCACTCCTGTCCAATTGACATAAAAGTCCGAAATGCTACTTCAATCTGCGATCTTCGAGTTATGACTTTGTTAGCTTATCAAGTTGACTGGCAATCTATTTTCGTGATTGCAGGATGCTCAGATGGAAGCATTAGGTGAGCATTGGCGGTTTGTTTATTACTCCTTTCGCCCATTGGAGTAATTATTATTTATTGCCTAAGGATGTTTATTACCTTCCTATTGATTTAATCTTTGAGCTAAAAATGTGTTGAAATTTAGTCCACAAACTGTATTTTACAACATTTCGCCTTGCACTTACTTCTTTACGTACTATATTAATTCATTTGTTATTTTTTTTGAAGTTGTATTAGACAATTCCATCATTGTTCTCGCAAAATTGTAATCCATTCAATCCTATTGTTTATTAATAAATTTATTCATGCCTGCCAACCCTTTATTGGCATGGAAAGCACCGGAACTCATAGAAATCTCTAAGGCAATCTCATGCGTGTTAGGAAAAAGGGGCAACGAGTGGAATATGGCAATAAAACCTCAACGAAGCGTAAACAATTTGATTTTTTGAATTCACTCTGGCCGCTTTTCATTTCTTGCAAAATTAGTCAGCTGCTTCATGCTATTATGAGCTATTGCACGAATTCTCAGACTTTTCCATTGATTTCACGAATGAAAAACTTAAACGCGTTACCCAATGCTTGTTGACCAGTTGATTAAGTGAGTTGGTTGATCAATGTTACCAATATACATTTCTTCCTCCGGAAAGTCAAAAATTCTTTAATTGGATGCTAAAGATTAACATGATTCCAACTTAGTAGAGTTCATCGAGTTTACAATTTTATGCCGGTATATAGTGATATGCTTAACTCTGACTTCTTACTGCTTCGTGTCCTTTTAGCGGTACCTACTGTTTGTGCATATTGATCAACGCGCATTCATATGCGTTTTTTTCTACCTTCTTGTCTATTGGAGCATTTTTTCAACGGACCACCAACTATTTTTGAAGTGCCTGTCGGTTTTTTTTACTCATTTTCTCTCAGTGTACTTCCCTTATTATGGTATAATGGTTAGTTCAATCGTTTCCTTCAAACCAAAATTATTTGCTCCCCGGAAGTAATTATAAAAGTCGAGTTACCAACTTCTCCTAGTGAGTGGAACATTACTCCATTTGGGGCATTTTTTTTCCCATCCTCTTATTATGCTTCGAATTTAGTTGTCTATGATTGTAATGCTGTTGTCATCGTTTCGATGCTGATAAGTGGGAATTTTTTTTCGTTAGAACTCCATATGGTAAAATTGGAGTGGCCAAATGCTTGAAGGAAATGCGCACTACATACTACTTAAATTTGATAAAAGTCGATAAAATTGGATCGTGTTTTGCTACTGATCCAGCATGGTGTAACAAAGTACTTGTTCTTTATTTAGCGGCTTCCCCTTACTTTTCGTCTCTAAATAATATTTATTGTTACTTTCTTAACGACATCTTTTGCAGTCACTTCCATGAATTCGAAGTTGGGGAAGACATTCCGATATGTGGTGTTTTAACCTCTGCTATTTTTTGTAAGACTTCCGAGTAGCAGTAATTGACATTGTAGATAAAAGCATTTTTCATGGATGCAGGGTAAATTCTCAAATTGCATGTGTGTATGTTGGTCGGTAATTATTGCCAAACACTACTTGAGAACATTGTTTTAATTTGGGTTGATGTAAAGGTAAGTTTAATAAATACCATAGCCAAATCATGAATTTACGTCAGGACACCATTCTTCTGCTGGGAAACATTCTTCAAATCTTAGCAGATGCCAGTGCAGACTTTAATCCTATCTAATGACGCATTAGGTGCAATCCATTTCATTATATCTGCAATATGGGGTGTGCGATAGACTTATCTCCACGTGGTGCACCCTGGGCAACGTATACTCATACTGCCAAAAAAGTCTATTATTCGGCAGTTGACTTCTGAGTTCAAACTACCAAAACCCCACCGCATTTCAAATTCGAATAATTCCACAGTAGACTGTATGTCATATTCGACCCCTTCCACAGTACTCATAATGACCCGACTGTATGTCATATTCGACCCCTTCCACAGTTCTCATATTCTGTATGTCATATTCGACCACTTTCACAGTACTCATCTTTACTTTTTTCTACCTTTGTGTCTGTCTGTCTCTTTTACGTCTCTGAATCATTATTCTGTCCCCCTCTCGACTTTTTGCCAATTTGATGTTCCTCTTCCTTTCTGTGAAGCCCCGAAGTCAACTAAANTCCGAGTAGCAGTAATTGACATTGTAGATAAAAGCATTTTTCATGGATGCAGGGTAAATTCTCAAATTGCATGTGTGTATGTTGGTCGGTAATTATTGCCAAACACTACTTGAGAACATTGTTTTAATTTGGGTTGATGTAAAGGTAAGTTTAATAAATACCATAGCCAAATCATGAATTTACGTCAGGACACCATTCTTCTGCTGGGAAACATTCTTCAAATCTTAGCAGATGCCAGTGCAGACTTTAATCCTATCTAATGACGCATTAGGTGCAATCCATTTCATTATATCTGCAATATGGGGTGTGCGATAGACTTATCTCCACGTGGTGCACCCTGGGCAACGTATACTCATACTGCCAAAAAAGTCTATTATTCGGCAGTTGACTTCTGACGTCAAACTACCAAAACCCCACTGCATTTCATATTCGAATAATTTCACAGTACTCACCTCACCTTTTTCTACCTTTGTGTCTGTCTGTCTCTTTTACGTCTGTGAATCATTATTCTGTCCCCCTCTCGACGTTTGCCACTTTGATGTTTATCTTCCTTTCTGTGAAGCCCGTAGTCAACTAAAGGGCTAATGATACCTATCACAACGCCTGCCATTTGAAATAAATATATCTGCAATGCTATTCTATAATTTATGCCCTTTTTTGTTCAAATCCTGTTCCCTTGTACTCCAAAATTGCACCAAAGCAGGACCGTTGAATTACTGATATTGAAGCGTTTTAGCAATTATTTCGTTAAGCGAGTTCGTTTCTCAAAATTGCTCATTTTGCGGTTGTCCTCACTACAATGGAATTGCGATTTCCAAACTCACAAACCACTTTAGCGCAAGATTATCTTCTCTGAGCCCATCACCACGTCTTTATTTCTATTTTCTCTGTTTCTGTTTTGGTAAAGTTTCCACTCATCGTCGGAGAGCATGTCGTCCAACGAATAATATGGAACCCATATTAACAAAGGAACAAAGAAATCGTAATTTCACAGTGTCTTGTTATTTTCTTACCAAATTCCTATCTCTAATTCACGTCGAAACTTCCCCCCCCCCTAAATCATTCCATAGGCAAAAAAATTTTTATTTTTGATGTTGGAGGCGCTTTCCTTCTCTCCTTTAGGCGTTTCAATTGTTGTATTTTCCGAATGCATAGCATTAGTTCGATTGAAAAAAAAACCAGTAGGTGTACACTGTTTTAATGGGATAGGGATTGGTGTAAAGTCCATATGACGAAATTCCGTTTGAAGAAGATCGGATTATGGTGAGCTGTTTTGGGTGACTTAGTCGTCATTATTCGACTCCAATATTTAACATCTGTGTTCTAACTAACTAACTTCCTAGTCTTGTAATAGAAATTCAATAAGTTCTTCATTTTATCAAAATTTGCCATTTGCTATCATATTCATATTGACTGACAATCTTTATATGATATTTATCAATAGTCCTTTTGTTGACTTCGGGTTTCACAGAGTTGAGGAACATCAAAGTCACAACAAGTCGAGGGGAAGGGGTAACAGAAGTGTAATTCACAGACGTAAAAGAGACAGACAAACAAAGGGTTGAATGTGACATACAGTCGGGTCATGGTAGCTTGAAGTGAGAAGTCAGTTGCCGGTTTATCTCACGTGGGTGCATCACATGGAGGTGAGTCTATCGCTCACCCATTTTTTCCTTTCATACAGGAAATGCCAAGTTGGTATTCGAATTCAGCTGTTTTCTGCTTCTTCAGAAATGGGACAATTTTGTTAGGTTAACTAATTAATGCATTGTCATTTTCAGCCTTATACGGACAAACCAATTGTAGTCATGCTTTTTGCCATTGGTTTCAACACTATATATGCCCTTACTCAAAACCAAGTGTTCTAACTCTGCCTAAATTACTTGAATCGGTTTGATTGATGACCTTCAGAGGGTAATTCTCTGGATCTTTAAAAAGCTTTCACCCTAACCTGCAACCTGACAACTGAATGTAAGGCAGAAATGTGTTTAAATACGAATTACTCCTTTCAGGTGCATAATTTTTCGAATGAATACTGAAGAATCTAACCCTGCCACAAGATTGGTTGTCGGCAGAGACATTGATTGACTACTTTATTTAAAGAGAATAGTGAGGGCCAATAACTTTTTGTAACCAGAATAGTTGAATGGCAGTTAATTAACAATGCAGCACTTAAAGTACTGATGGGAAGATAAGCAGAACAAAAGCTTGGCATGTTGTCAGGATGGGAATGCAGTTGTGGCAGCGAAGCTATGAGGTGGTGTGGGGGGGCGGTACATTTTCGAAAAGTGTGATGTAATATGTATATGTATAGCTTGGATTAGTGATTGTTTGAAGTTTATGCTTAACAACTTTCAAATCCGATTAATCACTCTTTTATAACATTTAATATATAGGTTTAGAGTGAACTTATGTGAAATTCGAATTTTACTTTAATATTCATCTTTTTCATTCAGTTTTAAGCACAATTTAGCGTCCGGATGATTTGGACGTGGTTTTCAATGAACAAGTTAATTAAATATGGGTTGGGGAGTCAGTGGTTTAGGGAAGTTTGGACTTTGAGCCAACATCTATGCATAGCTACAGTCACAATTAGTGCCTATTTGTTCTAAAGCATAGATCCTTGAATTTGGAGGGCATTCCATTGGGAAGTATATATCCTTTTTTAAGAGCGTTTACACGTATTCTTATTTTCGGAATCTAATTTAATATAAATTGTGTGGGGGGGGGGGGTAATAACAGATGAAAGCGAACATCCAATTTTATTAAATTTGACATGGTAAAAATGTTCTTACAATGTCCAAAATGACAAAATACGTTAACCCAACAGAACTGCTTTCTACATTTCTCCAAATGGCTTTCAACTCATGTTCCTG